CATCTTTGCCTCCCTCTCCGGCGAGATCAAAGATCAAATCGGGTCTGGTTAATCTCTCCGATAAGGCTGAAGACATCTCTCCCAGGCAGACTGGCGATCCACCAACGGCGTTCTGACGCCCCCAGTGGACACGGGACGCTAGCACACCCGAGATGGACAGTCGAAATCACCGCTCCGTGAAGTCATTATTCTGATAACCTTTACTGTGCTCTACACGTGTGTACCATTGTCTGTAATGTAAATGCGCTGTGTGTCTGTATATGTGTTATAAACGTCGGTGTCAGTGATGCATATGTCGTTATAACCATGTCTGTCGTGAAAGATGTCCAGGGAGACACACAAAGATAACGTCATAGACGCGCCCCCTTGGACTGGAACAAAAGCACACGCAAGCCGAAAAACTTTCTCTTGGCATTTTTAACGAACCTAACAACTATTCGGTACGCATCTCCAATGCGACCCCTGGGCCTGTAACAACTTGGGCCCCTATCTCCACAAGGACAGCTAGCAATACCCGCTGTCGGAGACAACGAACTCTCATCAACCAGCCACTTTCCGGCTTCTGGACGGGACGCCTCCACATGCAACGCTTTTCCTAGGCAGCGTACGTGTGTGTGTGGATTTCAAGTTTTGATCCGATCTGCTGGCCTTCGTCTCTCCTACTCGAACAAAGGAACACGTGGACTCCCCCCCTTTTTCTCTGCAATTCTTCAATACGGACTACGTCAAAGTAAGACTGTTCTAATTGCCACGTTAATGTGTGATTCACGTGATATGTTTAACATCTCTGTTCAATGTGACCAAATACCTCCTCGTTGATATTTTTCTATTTTCGTATGTAGTCAATAAACCCACGATCAACTTAGTCATCGTCAAGTGTCCTTTTTATAAATCTTTTGATATCCCTGGCTGATTTCGATCTCAAGATCTATCAGATTATGAGACTGATTGAGGCAGATTAGTACGGGATCTGTTGTAGATGCTTCAAATTCTACTGATGCCCCTAAATATAAATTCAGATCCCTCTTTGTGGAACGGCAAGACTCCGACCTGGAGACTAGCCGCTCCACAGTCATTTTTCCTACCCTACATATCTGGTGCCCCCTGTGTGAGATCCGCGCAAATATCTAGATTGATAAACTCGTACTCTGATGATTTAACCGAAAACGCTGGCTTGATAACACAACGCTCCACGTGCTCACCCCCACCCCCTCGCCCCCACGCGTTTACTTGCGCTACCACGCTGCTAGATTCATTAAATAGTCCAATTGAGCTCCCCCGCGCCCCGCTTGCGATAAAGCGACCCCTGCATGCAATTTTCTTTTGTTTTAGCTTAACTACTAAGCCTCAAACCCCGACCAGTATCGGGTACTACGCGACAATAAAGTGAAGCGTCTCGTAGGCCTGCGAGCGCGACGCCTGTCGACGAAGCCGCCATTCCTCACCGAAGGAAGGCGCAAACTACCCGCTCCCATGGGAACAAAACCCCCTGTGCCCAAAACACAGGCTTAAAGGGCCCACCCTGTGCACCAATCCAAGGACACAGGCTGTGGCTCACAGACGCTGTCTCATCTGTGCTTGTGTCTGTTCCTTTGTGTGCTCTTTCACAGATAAAGAGATTTTAAACGGCTGGAGCTGAAAAGTCATATATATGTATAAATGTTGTTAATAGCAGCCACTGTATGAGAAGCCACTGTTCTGCTGTTAACCTCTTGCTAAACCTGTCTCTTACCACTCAGTCTCTTCGCCTGCTCGCCACGGCACAGGCAACTTCACACACACACACACACCACAAGCTGTGCTGCACATCCAGGCCGGACACTAAAACCCTCCAGCGCGTCATTGCGTATAGCTGTGCCAGTGCGAATCGTAAACTTGCTGTGATACTGCTTGTTGTCCCAGCTGCTGCTAACTTCCTGTCCCTCTTCGCTACATGCTATTGCTAAACTGCATTGCTATTGTTGTTTAGCCTGGTGCTAACTTCCTGTACCTCCTCGCTACATGCTATTGCTAAACTGCATTGCTATTGTTGTTTAGCCTAGTGCTACCTTCCTGTCCCTCCTCGCTACATGCTATCGCTAAACTGCATTGCTATTGTTGTTTAGTCTAGCGCTAACTCCTCCTCCCTCCCCGCTATATGCTATCGCTAAACTGCATTGCTATTGTTGTGTAGCCAGATGCTAATTTCCTGCTCCTCCCCGCTATATGTAATCGCTAAACTGCATGAGCTAATGTTAGCCTGCTGCTAATTTCCTGTGTATCACCGCTACATGCTATCGCTAAACTGCATTACTATTGTTGTTTAGCCTAGTGCTACCTTCCTGTCCCTCCTCGCTACATGCTATTGCTAAACACCATTGCTATTGTTGTTTAGTCTGGCGCTAACTCCTCCTCCCTCCCCGCTATATGCTATCGCTAAACTGCATTGCTATTGTTGTTTAGCCTGGTGCTAACTCCTCCTTCCTCCTCGCTACATGCTATCGCTGAACTGCATTGCTATTGTTGTTTAGCCTGGTGCTAACTCCTCCTTCCTCCTCGCTACATGCTATCGCTAAACTGCATTGCTATTGTTGTTTAACGTGGTGCTAACTCCTCCTTCCTCCTCGCTACATGCTATCGCTAAACACCATTGCTATTGTTGTTTAGCCTATTGCTAACTTCCTACTTGCCCCGCTATATGCTATCGCTAAACTGCATTGCTATTGTTGTTTAGCCTGGTGCTAACTTCCTGTACCTCCTCGCTACATGCTATCGCTAAACTGCATTGCTATTGTTGTTTAGCCTGGTGCTACCTTCCTGTCCCTCCTCGCTACATGCTATCGCTAAACTGCATTGCTATTGTGTTTAGACTGGCGCTAACTTCCTGTCCCTCCTCGCTACATGCTATCGCTAAACTGCATTGCTATTGTTGTTTAACGTGGTGCTAACTCCTCCTTCCTCCTCGCTACATGCTCTCGCTAAACACCATTGCTATTGTTGTTTAGCCTATTGCTAACTTCCTACTTGGCCCGCTATATGCTACCGCTAAACGGCATTACTATTGTTGTTTAGCCGGGTGCTAACTTTCCTGCTACTGCTAACGCTAACGCTACTGCTACCGCTAGTGCTACTGCTAACTGCTACCGCTAGTACTACTGCTAACGCTAATACCCTGAACGCTATAGCCGCGCGCATAACTAAACCCTCCTACGCGCGCCGAAGCTGCTAACCCCAACCCTCTTCACTGATACGCAGGTGAAGAAATACTAAGGCCTGACACACACCTCAGGGTTTGCACCGACACACACACAACAGCTAAACAACCCACTCTGATACTACTTCCCTCCTTTCCTCCTCCCACCGTGTCATGCACACGCGCTCGAAGTCACACTCGCACACACACACTCATTCAAGTATGGACAACGGTGGCGACACCTCGCCATGCCCGAGCGAACAAAATGACGAGATGGAGGAAAAAGAGGTAGTGGATAACTTCCTGCATAACTTCACCGAAAAGTTCTCCCCGGGGGCCTATGACACGCTTAAAAACGGCTCGCCCTCTGAATTACAGGATGCCACCTCCATCTTGGTGTCCGATGCTATAACAAAAAAACTCGAAGGTAAGACCCTAACCCAGTGGCTAGGACAACTAGCCGCAGTCTCCAGGATAACCTTGCGCGACTCCGAAGCTCAGAAAGAAAAGCTTAAAGACACGGTAGGTGAACTACAACGGCAACTAGCGGAAGCTAAAAAGTCCGTCGCAAACCTTACAGAACAACACCAACAGGTAAGTAGAGACCACCAACAAGGACTGGACGTTACTCCAAGCGCGGCCATGGATCTTGACCGCGCATCGAGAATCAGGGCCGCTATGACGGCCGGAACCAGTCGGGAAAACGCCTCCCGGTCACAGTCCCCTCCCTCCGACTACGGCGGCCCATCGTCCGATAGGGACCGCAGGAGCGTGGCCGAACTGGTAAGTATCCTCACCAAAAGAGACCACGCTCAAGGACAAAAGGGAAATAACGAACCCAAAGATGCAAACCGAAGCAGCCCCCACCGGTCCGTCGACGACGGCCCCAACCAAATTGTCCGCGGCTCTAACCAAACAACGAGACCGCACCTGACTCCAGCCGACTTACAACAAAACAACGACCAAAACGACTACTCAGACCCCAGACTCGACCCACCTACGAACCAAGCTAGACACCACATGACAGACCGCTCGCGGGACCGCAGGACCTCCGTCTATGAGAGACAACCCCATGCCAGACCCGCCGTAGCACATCGAGACATGAAAAACGAAACACATGACTACCAGAACCATAGACCCGGACTAACCACGGACCACGCCGAACAATGGCCAACAACCCGCCAATGGGACAGTGGGGACCACCACAACCATGGAAGGGACCCCCACGGCACCCCTCCTGGCACACACATGGACATGCTAAACAGACAACATGACTACCCAACCCATGACTCTGGACCACCTGACGTCCATACAAGACACAGTTCAGTCAACCGCCATTGGGACGAGAGGGCCCAACCCGAACGTGGAAGGCAACCCTACAACGACCCCCCTGGCGCACATCAGAACATGCTACCCAGACCACCTGACGTCCATACGAGACACAGTTCAGACTACCGCCATTGGGACGAGAGGGCCCAACCTGAACATGGAAGGCAACCCTACAACGACCCCCCTGGCGCACATCAGAACATGCTACCCAGATCACACGACGTACCGTACCCAAAGTCTGGACCGTCTGCATACGCTGCGACACAATGGCCAGCAACCCGCCATGGGAACGCCGGGGACCTCCCTAACCATGGAAGACACCCCCACGGCACTCCCCCTGGCGAGTGCCGACTCAGCCCTATATCAACGTAACTACCCGGACTATAGAGAACGCAACACCCATTACACGCCCCCTATCGGTCGAGACCTGCTCGGCCCATCCGACCGTGACTTTGACCGCATAGCCAGACACATAAACCGCTTTGACCCTCGACCTGGCATGCCTACGGATACCCGATCATACCTCCGCGACATTGACTTCTACACTGACCGCATACCAAACGCGTCTCCAGGAGACAAAATATTCTTAATGAGGCTCACGTCCAATAGAGAAGTGAATAACTTCATCGAAAGACAACCGAGAGCTTCAAAGCATGACTACAACGAGCTCTGCAAAGCCCTCCTGGCCGAATACTCAGACTTCGGGGCCTCTGGGACCCTCACGGCAGCCATGGCAGTCAAACAAACTCAAAACGAGCTTGCGGACTGCTACTACCACAGACTAAGACAGGCTTACTTTGGCAACCAAAACTACGAAGGGATGGAGGAAGATAAAAACTTCAAGGCCCTATACATCCAAAACCTCCATCCCAACCTTAGCTTCCTACTAGGCGTGTCCGCCTGCCCCCTTACACAGGACATACGACAACTGAAGACCCTAGTGGTAAGGGCACAGAGCAAACAATTACTTAAACCCCAAGTGAAACCACAAAACCAGCCTACAGTGTATAGTGTGGACAACCACATGGAACTCGAAGGCACACCAACTAACCAAAAACAAAAATGGGGGACAGATCGAAGACCCTAAAAACGCAGCCGTGCGACTTGGAAATACGACCCTATTCCCAGGTAAACACGACCATACGTAAAATGGCGCTAATGCAACTGACCGTGGGCCCCATGACGCTAGTCCACCCGGTCTACATCTCCCCATTCAACTCGATTCCACTCCTGCTGGGCCAGGACCTTCTAAATCGGTTGGAACCCCTAATAGACTTCCAACGTCTGAAGATCTGGGCACAAGTCCGGAAGCCCTTGCCCATCCCACGCCCACTGAGCGAGAACCACTGCTACTTCATAGAAGCGCCGCCTACAGACGGCCTACAGCCGGCCTACAGCCCGGCATGGACAAGGAACTAAACGATATGGCCGTCGGCCTGGCCAAACAAGGCGCCGTAGACTGCATAGAGTGGCAACTCCGCAAACGGGGACAAGAAACACCCACCCCAGATCAACCCGCCCCCACAATCTGCGCAATCACTCGGGCAAACGCCGCCGAAACAGACCAGACACCCGACGCCGCACCCCCACGCACAACCCCCGACTTTGACAGGTCGGACCTAGTCTCCCTCCAATATGCAGACCCCACACTAAAACGCCTCATCAACGTCACGACCAACCCAAACGACCACAACATCACACAAAACATGCTGTCGGGCGACACGACGCTCAAAAACCTCTGGCGTAATAAAGACAAACTGCCAATACGCCATGGGCTGTTAGTTTATGCTTCCAATGCAGACACTTCGTCGGTACTCGTGGTGCCTCGAAGCATGAGGGGGGTGATGTTGGCACACGCCCATGACGCACCTACCGCGGGACACAGAGGTATAAACAACACACACCAGGTACGGTATTACATCTTTGCACATTCCCCAGGACAAGTGGGGACCGGCCCCACCAGACTACGCCGGAAACGGCTACCCCGCTGGTCGGGACCATACAGGGTGGTAAACAAACTCTCAACCGCAGTGTACCAGATCGAGATCACAAAAGGTAGGAGAGAACCCACCCTCAAATGGGTTCGTCACAACTAGGGCTGGGCGATAAAACGATAACGATATATATCACGATAGACATGTGTTCGATATCAATAGAGAATGGGGTCGATAGAATGTTCGATAGTTTAACTTAACTCCGTCAGGAAAAACAGGAAGAAAACACCGGAAGTAAAGCCGACTCATAAGCGCTTGGCATTGTGGCGGATGTAGGTAGAGGCTTCTCGACCAATAACAGCCGAGCAGGAACCACAAAACTTTGTGGGAAATGCAAAAACAACAACAACCGCTCCATGCGTAGCGTCCATGGATCTATAGCTCGTGTTTCAATGCCGTGTCAATGGTTATGCACGTACGTGCGCGGAATAACATGTGCGGCGGCAGAGGCAGTGGACAGACACGATGTATTCGGCGAAAGCAAGAGAATAACTTTTTCCTCGGGAAGCATGTGTGGCACAGAGCCGCACGGAGCGGTCACGGGGACACAAGACCCTCAAACAGCTAAACCAGGAGCTAAACCAGGAATAAAAACCAGGATTAAACCAGGACTAACAACGAGGGACACAGTGTGAACATATTCCTCCAGCCTCATCGCCCCGTGACTGTAAACAAGGCTGCTAAGGTTGGTTAGCCCACACGACAAATATATTTATTTAGGTTAAAAAAAAAAAAATCAATATATATCGTTATCGACCGATATGAATGACTGATATCGTGATATAGTTTTCAGCCATATCGCCCAGCCCTAGTCACAACCAAATCAAACCACACAAACAAAGCCCCATGGGACAGGTAGGGCACATTACAAACTCCAGTTAAGAACACACCACGTGACCTCGAACACTATTAGTCCAGCAACCACTAACATTCTTCTTGGCTGCACTAATCTCTCTCTCTCTCCGTCTTACTCCTTACTGTCTCACGCTTTGCAGAACATGTGGCCCACTCTCCTCCTTGTGCTGACCTGCATAGTGTGCCTCGGCACCCCAGAAATTATTGAGACCAGACCAGCCGCCGCAGTCATGGCCTTTGCCCTGAACAAACGGGTTAGACATCTCCGCGATAACTTTAAAAAGCGCACGGAGGCAATGACGAGACAAATCCGTAGACGACTAAACCGGGGCGACAGCGCCGCCGAGCGTGGCAATTTAAGCCGGCGCCCCCAAGTCAACGACTCAGAGTACGAGGACCTTCAGAGCCACCCACTCGAGACGGTCACTCTTCCTATCGTAGAAGGTGAACCAAGAGCTTAAAACCCACCAGGAGTCACCAGCTCAGATCCAAACATATCTACCTCGATACCCAAACCGTCTCCCAGACAATCATACCTGTCATCCCCGTTTATATATAGGAATCCCCCTCGTAACTAAAAGCCCCACTTGCTACGTCGTATACTTTTGTAATCCTTGCACTCCCCTTTTAGAACGAGCAAGATGGGAACCCCTCACCAACGAGTGCCTTAATGACTCGCCCAATCGCTGCCAAAACAGCCAACCCTTTTGATTCTTGGAATTTTTCTTTATATTTTTGTATTCTAGTCCCCTAGAAATAGAAACTCTTGCTAGTCTCTCGGCTTGGAACTTTGAGTCTTCCAGACCAAGAGACCCAGGAGCCAGGTGCACCAACCCAAACCCTAGTTCACTGCCCCTGTAGCTCACTCCGTGAACCCCTGATCCCGGTTAGAACTAGCCTGCAGGGCCAGGACACGCCTTAGAGGAAACCCGGCCTCCACGAACCAAGCCAGAGGCCTGAGATCCAACCGCCACGAGCCTGGCCCCAGTGAGGCGCTTGCGAACTATTGAGTCACATTAAGGCGAGAATGTTCTAACATGTTACCATAGATCACACACTAACACCCGAACAGTCGAGACGACCGACTGAGGACACCCGCCCGGCATCTCCGACATGACATGCACCTTGTCGGAAGGTGCATCTCTGCCGTGGGGGGGGATGTGTAAGGTGACAAAAGGAGAGCATGGCATGGAACATGGACAGAGAATGGCCTCGGCAGAAACTAACCAACATGAGATAAGATTTTAGGAATGTCCATCCCAGAGCAGACATCTGAGACATAAAAAGGTCAAATGGAGGACTATCATTAGTCACAAAGATACCAACCTTCAAACCGGGACAATGATCGACCCCAGAACAAGCATCTTTGCCTCCCTCTCCGGCGAGATCAAAGATCAAATCGGGTCTGGTTAATCTCTCCGATAAGGCTGAAGACATCTCTCCCAGGCAGACATCTCTCCCAGGCAGACTGGCGGACACGGAACGCTAGCACACCCGAGATGGACAGTCGAAACCACCGCTCCGTGAAGTCATTATTCTGATAACCTTTACTGTGCTCTACACGTGTGTACCATTGTCTGTAATGTAAATGCGCTGTGTGTCTGTATATGTGTTATAAACGTCGGTGTCAGTGATGCATATGTCGTTATAACCATGTCTGTCGTGAAAGATGTCCAGGGAGACGCACAAAGATGGCGTCATAGACGCGCCCCCTTGGACTGGAACAAAAGCACACGCAAGCCGAAAAACTTTCTCTTGGCATTTTTAACGAACCTAACAACTATTCGGTACGCATCTCCAATGCGACCCCTGGGCCTGTAACAACTTGGGCTCCTATCTCCACAAGGACAGCTAGCAATACCCGCTGTTGGAGACGACGAACCCTCATCAACCAGCCACTTTCCGGCTTCTGGACGGGACGCCTCCACATGCGACGCTTTTCCTAGGCAGCGTACGCGTGTGTGTGGATTTCAAGTTTTGATCCGATCTGCTGGCCTTCGTCTCTCCTACTCGAACAAAGGAACATGTGGACTCCCCCCCTTTTTCTCTGCAATTCTTCAATACGGACTACGTCAAAGTAAGACTGTTCTAATTGCCACGTTAATGTGTGATTCACGTGATAGGTTTAACATCTCTGTTCAATGTGACCAAATACCTCCTCGTTGATATTTTTCTATTTTCGTATGTAGTCAATAAACCCACGATAAATTTAGTCATCGTCAAGTGTCCTTTTTATAAATCTTTTGATATCTCTGGCTGATTTCGATCTCAAGATCTATCAGATTATGAGACTGATTGAGGCAGATTAGTACGGGATCTGTTGTAGATGCTTCAAATTCTACTGATGCCCCTAAATATAAATTCAGATCCCTCTTTGTGGTCTCCGACCTGGAGACTAGCCGCTCCAGTCATTTTTCCTACCCTACAATACCATCCACTCCATAACCTGTTAAGTCTACAAAGAATGAAATTTACAAGCAAAGGCCGTTAGTGGGAGTCGTTCTGGCGTGACGATCGTCTTAGCTCTAGCAACTTTCTTGTAGAGCATATTGTATCTAATAGATGCCAGGAAGTCCTTCTGATGCGCATTGAACAACGCTACCATTTCTTTACAACCATTGGTTTCCACAACATCCTGGCTTTGCTTTGGTAGAGAGAATTCTTTTGAACAGTCTGTCATTCTCTCTTGATGATTTGTTGGAACCCCAACTTCTTTCCTATTCCGAATACCCTGGACACCAAATCACATCCCGTAAAGGCATGCAGGAACCTTGATATTGAAGACGTAGGATTTCGACTTCTCAGAGCGGAAATAAAGCATAGTACATTTGGAAATGTACAGTGGGGCAAAAAAGTATTTAGTCAGCCACCGATTGTTCAAGTTCTCCCACTTAAAATAATGATAGAGGTCTGTAATTTTCATCACAGGTACACTTCAACTGTGAGAGACAGAATGTGAAAAAAAAATCCAGGAATTCACATTGTAGGATTTTTAAAGAATTTATTTGTAAATTATGGTGGAAAATAAGTATTTGGTCACTTCAAACATGGAAGATCTCTGGCTCTCACAGACCTGTAACTTCTTCTTTAAGAAGCTCTTCTGTCCTCCACTCGTTACCTGTATTAATGGCACCTGTTTGAACTCGTTATCTGTATGAAAGACACCTGTCCACAGCCTCAAACAGTCAGACTCCAAACTCCACTATGGCCAAGACCAAAGAGCTGTTGAAGATAAGAATTCCTTTATTCGTCCCACAGTGGGGAAATTTCGATGTTGCAGCGCACATATTGAACAAATGCATCAACGTCATCCAGTCACGTGATTGTGAACGAGCTTACGGCGGAAGTATTGGAAACTAGCATTGCTGCAAGAGCAAAACATACACAACTCTTAAAAACGGAGCTTCCTCTCCTAAATTGAGAAGTGGCTGCTTCAAGCACATGTTCGATTACAGTATAGGTGGAAGTAGGACATCAGGTCAGGGCTCACAAAGAGTGGTATTTGGAGAAGTTAATGATTGCCTAACTGGATGTTGACCCGTACCTTCTCCCCCCAGTCAATTTTATCGA